GCGCTTTCACTTTGTTTAGGGAGGGGCTGCTCACTGCTCATTGCTCATTGCTCATCGCACACTGCTCAACGCTCATTGCCCTATATCCCACCCAGCCGCAGGACTCCACTGCCGCCCGCGCCCCGCCCCATCTGGCCGCTTGCGCGCCCCATCCCCCCTCGATGGGGCCCGCCCACACCGGGGCCTCCCCCCTCCCGCCCACTGCTTTCTCAACGGCCCCGAGCCGGGGCTGCCCTCATTGCATACATAGTGCGCCTTTCCCTGCTTTTCTAGTGACCTAGCGTTCCGCACTGCCGTTTGGCCAGCCCATGCTCCCGTACCGTTGCGTTTCTCCCCAATGCGCCATGCCACTTTGCCAGTCATACACACGTTTCGATGCGTGCCCTGTCAGCTGCTTGCGTTGCATGTCGCCTTGCTCCACCCCTGTTTTATTGCTTTCTCTGCTTTCGCCCGGTTCCCGTCCCGTTTCGGCGGGGAGTCTATGTTGCAAGCTAGTTCTTGCTTTACCAGACTTTAAGCCCACACAAGCAAGCATGCACGTTGCATTGATGACAACGGGCGTGCCGGCGGGCAGGTGCGAGCAGGCTGCTTCCCTCTTTTCAGTCTGGACGCAGCGATCAGCGTGCAAAGGGGCACTTTCTCCATCATATGTGGGACCTTTTTCTGTGTCCCCGTAACATTCATCCAGTTCGATCATGCACTCTGCTGATTGCACATGCTGATTTGCAATTGCTCACCTGCCTCCGCCCTTCCTGGTTGTTGCAGTGGGACTTTTCGGATCTGGCCGCCTCAAGCTGTGGCTATGCAAACAAGGTCTGCTACTGTGCCGCTGATCTGTCGATTAGACAAGGCTCAATCTCTCGCATGCATCCGGCCCAAGGCGGCGAGCTGCTACAGCTGGGCCTCTCTCTTTGACTGAGGTGAACAATTTTGCTCTGCAGGCCCGGGACGGCATCGCCCGGGGGGTAGAGTTGCTCTGGAAGGAAGTGGACAAGAGCCTGGTGGATGTCAAATCGATCATCCAAGACCTTCGAATCCTCTCCAGTGACGGCGGCATGCCTGCAGTGAGTTTGTGGGAGCGGCAGCTTGCTTGGAGGCTTCGAGTCTGTAGGCATTTCCTTCATAGTCAGCACCAGGCACCCCTGTCTGTGACATGTGCAAATGCTCCCAACCATGTACATGCAGGAGAGCTTTGGTATCTGGCGCACCAGCCTGCCCCCCGTGCTGAACTGCACTGCTGCCGGAAGACTGAATGTGACCATGGCGGGTATCCCTTGCAGGGCCACTGGCGGTCCAGCTTGCACGGTAACACGCATATGGGGTGGTCAGCCAAAGTTGTCTGGACAGCTACCTGCCTGCTGTGCTACCCGCCCAGCTTCTGCCCGAAATGCAGCACTGCCCGAAATGCAGCACTACTACCCGCCCCTCCATCGCAGGCCTGCAACCGGCGTGGTCGGTGCACCACGTGCCCGGTTCTGGGAGCTTTCATGAAGGACAAGATGTGCTACCTCTGCCCCGAGAAGTGCTTGCGGTGCACCCTCCAGACGGGCGTGTGCACGTCTTGCAAGAAGGGCTTCGTCCTGCTTGCAAAGGATAACGTTGTAAGTTGCCTGCAGATGTGGAGAGAGGCTTTCGTACCTCGGTCGGGCACTGAATGTTGTGCCAATGCATTGGCTGCGTCCTCCCCTCTTGGCCTTGCCTGTGCAGTGCTTGCCAGCCCTAGGCTAAGGCGGTGGACCCCATTTCACTATGCCTTGCTGGGCAGACTTTACGTGCCTAGTGGACGAGAAACGTGAGTCGCCATGTGGAGCCCTATGTGCACAGCATGATGGTCCCTGCTTGTGTGGGCTTAAAGTCTGGTAAAGCAAGAACTAGCTTGCAACATAGACTCCCCGCCGAAACGGGACGGGAACCGGGCGAAAGCAGAGAAAGCAATAAAACAGGGGTGGAGCAAGCTTGCTTGTGCTTGTGTGGGCTTACAGTCTGGTTTCAGCAAGAACAAGCTTGCAGCACAGACTTTGTTGTTCGAGCAAGGAGGGATGAAGCAGTAGAACAACAGGCAGGACAGGCCAACTGACAGGTCACCGAGCGTTTAGTGTGTGAGCGGGCAGGCAGTACTGCATGTCGTGGAGCAGGTGTGGTGCGGTAAGAGCAAAGGGGGTGGACATGAGAGTGGGGGTTCAGGGCGGGACTGCAGGCAGCGCAACGGTGGCGGTCAGCCAGCGCTGGTGACAGGCGGCAGCAAAGGCGGCGAGGCGGCACGGTTTCTGGCGGAGGAAGCGGTGGGGAGGATGGGGCTCAGCAAACAGGTCAGGAAAGTTGAGGCGCAGCGGGGCGTAAAGGGGGCAGGTGAGCAGCATGTGGGGGGCATCTTCAATGCCGTCGTGGCAGTGGGGGCAGACTCGCTGCTCTCGGGGGCGCCGCGTCCAGCGGCCGGTCTCTTCCGCGCCCCAATGCGACCCGGTGCGCAGCTGCGCCAGC